ATAAACAAATATGTAGACTTCTTCGTTGAAAATTTGTGCCAAATAAACAATCATGTGAATTTTCTTTGTTACATAGTTGTTCTAGAATAATTTCAGTCTTTACAATTTATCAATCTAGTAGAAAATTAAGCTGTTCTGTTCTATATGTGTTATTCATTTATTTTACTGCCACATGATAAAAAGTAAATCAGCCTACAACTACACTATATAACTGGTCATTACTCACTCTTTGAGTTGTAAACAACGCCTACATACTTTGCATTGCAGTTTATTATTGATTATTACAGCTTATAGTTTTTCTGATTGTTTCTAGAAAATAAACAGAACTTCTGTGTGTATAGGTTGTTTTCCTAACCAATTAGTAACTGGCCTTTTCTGCAGATGTTTTACTAGAAAGGTGTAAAAATCGCACTTAGTATCTTATTAAAATATGCGTTGGTGGCGCCGAGGTAGAATGCTCGCCAGCAGCAGTTGCGCCACAGGTGGTCTGGGGTTCGCGATCCCCAACCGATGCATTCCAAAATCTCGCTTAGATGGTAGGTAATAAGTCAGGCAAATAGGAAAGGTTGAACGTGAGACTAGCACTCCCACTCTGTAAAAATAAACACCACTGCTACCGAAACTTCAAAACTCTAGCTTGAAGCCCTGTGTTCCACCGGGAGCGCAAAGGAATAAAGCCAGAAATAATAATCTTACTAAAACAAAAGAATTTTAAAAAAAAACTCAGTTTGAAAGACAGTGACGATAAATATCTCAGACGTGGCCTCATACACAGTAATGTATTGAGATTTCATGTTTCTCAGCGAGCTTTCATCTTTTTTTATTGACTCTCTTTTTTCCCCTATTCTTTCAGGCATTGTATGCATCTAAAATAGTTTCCTATGCTCAGGGATTTATGCTGTTGCAACATGCTCATCAAACTTTTGGTTGGAAACTGGATCTTGGTGCAATTGCACTTATGTGGCGTGGTGGATGTATAATACGCAGGTTGGTTTATTTCGATTCGATTGATAATTTTGTCCACTGTAAACTGTCAACACTTTAGTCTAGTGAATTTGAGTTGATCATTGACTAATGTAAAGGGAAATAAAAAGTTAGCATAAAAATAATTTATAAACAGCTTTTTCCACAGGCAAACGAGTGAAAAGTGAGTTCTTTTTATTAACTTCTCTAAACACAACACGCATGCTAAAAAAAGTCAGTTGAACCGTATATAGGAAATAGTTATATGTCTTTGCAATACATATTCCACGCTTTTACCCTCATAATTATGCGAGACTTTATCGCAGTCTAATTGATCAACATGACGCATCAGATAAACGTAAAACTGCATCACCAGTATCATTTTCCTGATTCTTTAGGGACAGGTTATTTTCTTACTTGGTGAATTTCTATTCTATCAGTCTTAGTGAATAAGCAACCTCGATGGTGTTTATTAGGGTAAAACTAAGTCTTTTGAGGTAGTACTATCGTTACAATGGAACAGGACACTAAATTGTTGGGCATATATATAAGGTGAAGAGTTATAGACCTCTTTATTCCATAACATTCAAGTTAAGCCAATTGAGATAGTTAGTTATTTCTTATTAGAGGCCTCATTATCACCAGTAAGCGATATTTTATTACTGTTATGCCAAACAAATCATTCATTTGACTGACTGACTGGTTTTAACTTGGAACTTTGCATCGATGTGCAGCAGTTCGAGTTGCCACACTGCATGTACCACACAAAGCAAGAGAAGAGAGTAATGGGAGATTCAAACGGGAGACAATAAACAGAAATTTGACGGAAAAAGAGTAGTAATATGGAAAAACAATAGAGTTCTATTGGAGATATTAAATCACAAAGAGTGAATGCACCTGTACCAGCCATTGAGAACGATTTTGAGACATATCGCCTATTGTCTCCAGCATTCACTGGTTTTTATCATCCCGAGGACTCAAACCTGTCAGGAAGTGTACACCTCCCGACGTGGCTGGCTTAAACTGAATGTTGTGGATTTCATTGACTGATGAGACCATGTTTTGGTTCGACCGCTACCTCCTAGCTTCTTCCCAACCTGATCCATCATATGCCGGCTAATATTACCCTTTTTCGATGAAGGCGATGGCTAGGCGTGCATGCGTAACACATGTCCTAACCATCTCAATTGGTGTAACTTCGCAACCTCATCGATTGACTTTCCCTCCCTCCTTACTTAGCACTCGACTGATGCCTCACCTCAATATTGCTCACCTTATTATACCACTTAAAACAGGAGGTAGAACGCAGACATTTATTATTAAAGACAGCTAACCTTTTCGTATTTCCCACTTTCAATGGCGATATCTCACAGTCATAAAGGAGGATGGGGCGAAGTGCTGAGCGCTGAACAGTACACACACCCTTTGGTCGACGGCCAGTCGGATATTACGTCTACTTAGGAGATGGCGTAAGTTGGTGTGTATCAAACGAGCCCTCTATATCCGTGCTGAGATTTCGTCAACGGTCAACCTGCTGAAGTTGACTGATGTCAATCCCTAAATAAGTAAAGTGGTCAACATGCTCTACCGCTTTAAGCTAGGAGTAGTCGACGTAGTACAGTCCTGTAGCATCATCTTACATTTGACAAGGGTAGCGAATCGCATGCCAAATTTTCGAAAATTGCTGCTAAAGGTATTCAGAACACTTTGCGCTTTGTCAGCGTCATCACTTAGGAGGACTGTATCATATGGATATTCTGAGACAGCGAGGTTATTGCCTGGTAACAGGTCGATCCCTGGGACGCTGAAGTCAGGGTAAAGTCCATTAGTACCAATATCCATGATGAAATTAAACAGAAATCATTCATTTGCGTAGAAATGACAATCGTTTCTTAATTTTACCTACTGTCGCAGTATTTCTGACTTTCGGCGTTTTTTTATTGTTGATAAAACCACACTCTTTTAAACGGAGCGCCAAATACTTCATCTAAACTGCCAACAGAAACCGCCACGTAACGTAGTAAAAAAGCCTCTACAAATTTCCACCTATTCTTTATACTACTTTTATGATTAAATACTAATATTAGAATGTATTCTTTGACTTTGTAGCCAATTTCTTGGAAATATAAAAGAAGCCTATGAACGCAATCCTAATCTTAGTAATTTACTTCTAGACCCATTCTTCAAACAAATTATCGATGAATGTCAAGTAAGTTGTGCAGAAAAATGTTACCATATTTTAACCAACAAAAGAAAATCACGAGTTGTGTGTATTTACCGGCGCATGTGAACACTGAAAGAAAAATCCGTGCTTTGCAAAAGATGTTTTGCGTATAAACTGTCATAAGTTACTCAACATTTTTATGTAGCACATCACTACTGCATTTAATGAGTCATCATCTATCAGACCGACCGGATGTTACGTAACAGTATCCTCCAACAAGCACATTGTAATTAAACATGACGTGATTTACAGGTGTTTAGAGGTAAACGTGTTAAATCACGTCCATCATAATATAATAATAAGCTTTGAGTATACAAAAGCTACTTATTTCTTTTATTAAACGTTTTATACTCAGTTTTGATTGACATTAAAGGTTAAATATAGCTGTAGAAAATACTTTTGAGTCCTGAATAGGTACATACTTTAAAAAAAGTGGATGATATTGTAATCCTCATAAGAACCAGTGACCTCCTTCACCAAAGATACTTGTGTGTAAAAGACTAATGGATCCATCCATAAGATGTATCATGCTTACGTTACTGCAAAAGTAAGTTATTATTGGTGGGCAAACTGTAATTAAAAATAAAATTAAAAAGACAAACTAAGAAATGCCACTGACCATTCATAATTAAAGACACCTACATTTTAGAAGGATTCTAAAAGTCTTCAGAGTAAATTGAATTAATCTGGGACTTCTGCCTCACTCTCTTTGACTAAATCACGAGAAAAACAAGTCTTACAGTTCAATTCACAAACTTCTTAATTGTTTATTTTTCTTTACCGCTACTTCCATGTGAAAAATACTCAAATTGGAAAAATAGTTTAATGTCATCTTAGTTTTTCATTACTATTATAAGGAACATTCAAGTATTGGTTTACAGGGATTTGGTTTATTGGTTACAGGATTTCATCATGAGCTGACATTGGTTAGAGAAACATTGGAAAACCATGGAGTACTGGACAGTTGTTTCGCCCTAGTTTGGGACTCTTCATCAGTACGCGCCCACCGCCAGGGTTCGAACCTAGGACCTTCTGGTTACAAGGCTAGTGAGCTCGTAGACCATTAAGCCACTGGGACTTGATCCAATGACCCATGAATTCTAACTTCTGCTAATTCATGATATAGCGCAACCACTAGCCAATTTCGGTTTCTTCACTAAGTAATGCAATTTAAAAGTACTTTGTTTGAAAATTTATTAAAAGTACAAAGCATAAACATCACAATATATTCTCCAATGTTAATTTGTTTTCAGAATGGATGGCGTCAAGTTGTTTCTCATGCAGTACTTAATGGAATTCCTACACCGGCATTTAGTTCTGCATTAACATTTTACGATGGAATAATATGTCCTAGTCTACCTGCTAATTTATTACAAGTAAGCCTGTTTTGCAGTATTCACAGTAGACATCACATATAATCATTCATGTGTTTCTGTCGTATTTTCGCTGAATTAACTTACACTGTCATTGTTGTGTGTGCGTTTTTTTTCTCATGTTCTAGGCTCAACGTGATTACTTTGGTGCTCATCAATTTGAGAAGATAGATAATCCAGGCGTTTTTGTTCACGCTGATTGGACTGGTCATGGAGGTTCTGTAGCTTCTTCTACATATCAAGTTTAATTTCTGTACTTTGTAGATGACTTTTTTCTTCCTTTCTTTCTTTCTCGTAACTTTATCATATAAATGGAAAGTGGGGATACTTCTTTTAAATATATATATCAGTTTAGTGAATATTTGTAAAATTGCTTTTACATGCGCTAGTATTATGTCAAAAAGTAATTTTTTTCAATGATATGTTTAATAAGAAAAGGTTTATTTTGTACATCTTTCTTTTTGTGATATTTCTAACAAAATAGAACAGTTAAGTATAGAAAGTAGCATTTCATTCCATTTCATCTCCGGAACCAAATGCTTCACGTTGTTCACTATCTTCTCCACTGACGCCAGCAGTTCTCAAACGATCATTCGCTGAAGTGGTGCCTAGTTTTGAAGATGCGGGCTTTGCATTCTTTCCTTCGCATGCAACAATTTTTATCTGATAATCGGGTAAGAAAAAACATTGGGAAAATTAATTAGCAGAAAGTTTAGGTATCATGAGGTGTTTACTAAGAAAAATGTACTCTTCACTTATATAAAGTAAACTAGTAAGAAATGCAGATGAATTACACGTATGAAATGAAGACTTTATACATATCATAGGACTTACTTTATCAACAGTCATAATAGCAGATGAGTCCTTTATTTCTACATCGTTCATTACTAGTGTCCATACATTATCACAGTTTCTGTAGGTATTCAAATGACCGCGAAGAGACAGACGATTCTTAACACGTTTCGCCAAAGCATTACTAATACACTGGTCAAATTTTTTCATCACCTGCAATAATTACGCATATATGTTTGTAATTTTTAGAAAGGATACTTACTTTACTATCCATACCAGGTTGTAGTAGGTGATGCGCCAACATCTCATCTAACGCCTCTCTGAGAGTAGTCCCCAGTGTAGTACTTCTGTACATTTCATGATACGTCATTTTGATCAGGAGGAATTCTAAATGATGAAAACCGTAAGGTTTAGATAGAAACTACACTGCGTAACGAAGAGTCTTTCTTAGTAAATAAACGCTCGAAATTTAATTGAAAGGTGGTGGCAATAACGTCCATCTATGCATTTAACTTGTTTACGTTCTAACAAAATCACTTTACGGTATAAAACACATATTTGAATAATGATCAATAAAAATCTTAACTTAGGGAGACATAACTTTTACGGGGATGGAACTTGGGCACTGTGATTAAGACGTACACCTCAAGTAGAAAAATTACCCAACACTAACACTAGAGATTATTACGAAGAATGAACCAAAGAGTGAGAAGTACTAAAGATGTATGGGCAAAGGTTGTAAGTTAACTCAGTACCTTCATATGAATATGAACGAGGAATTTAATGCATAAGTAATACTTTTCTAAGTAAGATATTCTCTTGTAGAACTGTCGTAATTCTCTGGAAACACTAAGGCCTTTTATATGATGTATTTTCCGTCTAATGAGGCATTCAGGGGAAACAGTCAACTATCTTGTTTAGTAACTAATGTCTGCATATTAATTTTATGCGTAACGCTATTGCTATACTACTGACTAGTATGTGTCAGAACTCATTTTAAAGTAAAAACAGCTACATGTTTTGAATGTGAGAACATAATGCTACTGTCCATAGAAATAGAACCATTCCAACTTCAATAATCAAAAAGAGCAGAAAACCAAAGTAAGCAGGGAAGGTTACAATAAATACTAAAATAAAGAATTCAATGTTATAATGTGATGTGGGCGGGATGGTGAGTACATATACACTTCTGCAAAGTGTTATGAAGCCTTTGTGATCGTAAGTATTTAGCACAAAGCTAAAATTTGCATTGAAAATGAAGGTGGTGATACATTTGCATATTCTCCAGGGTATGAAGGGAGAGCCATTTCGGTGGTTAAAAACTTGACTCCTAATTAACTCTATTCACCATCAGCTTCAACCTTAATAAGAGTAGTGATATGGATCCCGAGTACTGCTATTTCATTAGTAGATAATTCATAAAGAAGGTGAGATTATGATAGTGGCAAATGGATGGCGTCTACGTCGCTGAGGGCGTGTTAACTTAGTGTAGGTGGGTTTGAACAAATGTGATTAAGATCCTGCCAAAACACTTCTGCATCCGAATATTTCTCTCAGAAGTGCATTTCTGCAGTCCGTTTGATAATTTCCGTGAAGAGTCGCAAAAACTTGTTCAGCATCTCCATTGCCATGAGGTCTTTGCTACAAAAGGAAACTTACGAAAAGTCTCCGCAAGGACCGTGAACAGTGGTGGGTGACAAAAGCCAAAGAGATGGAGAAAGCTTCGAAGATAGGCAACTATTTAGACTCATCAGGGAAACGGGTGGGAGAAGACAAATCATTAGTGAAACAATCTCGGAAAAAAATGGCACTATAATTAGCTTCCAGGATAGACGACTGGATCGCTGGAAAGAGCATTATGAGGAGCAGTTTAATTGGCCCACAGCCACACTCAACCTTCCGAGCATCCAACACCTCCTTGAATGGGATAAAGACACAGCTCCTCCATCCCTAACTGAGGTTACTAAAGCTGTCATTAATCTGAAACTAGGCAAAGCAGCAGGACCTGATGGAATGACTCCAGAGGTATTTAAGTACGGTGGAGACAGTTTACTGTCTGCATTAACTGAGGTACTAGGCAGCGTCTGGGAATCAGAAGAAGTCCCATCGGGTTGGTGTAAGTCACTGATTATCCCCATATACAAGAAGGGAGACAAGTCTTCCTGTGATAATCACAGAGGGACTAGCTTGACTAATATAGTATCTAAAGTCTTAGGCTCAATAATCATGCGTAGACTGAGTGGTGCTCGGGAGGCACAAACACGAGAGAGCCAGGCAGGCTTTAGACCAGGAAGAGGGTGTATTGATCATATCTTCACCCTCCGACAGATTCTAGAACATAGGCATTCCTACCGGCGTCCAACAGTCATTATATTTCTTGACCTAAAGGCGGAATTCGATTCTGTCGACCGGGAGGTTCTCTGGAGATGCTTGGCTGTAAAGGGAATTTCGAGAAAATATATTGCACTGATTAAGGCACTCTACTCGTACTCATACAGCCAGGTGAGGGCTTACGGCGAGCTGTCATCTGAACTGGTGATGACTAGTGGTGTCCGTCAAGGATGCCCATTATCCCCTTTTCTATTCAACTTCATCATAGATGTGTTAATGGACTTAACCCTAAGTGGCTTCAGGGATTGACTTGCTACCTGGGAATAATCTCGTTGACTTGGAATATGCAGACGATATAGTCCTTCTAGGCGAAGACGCTGACGAAATGCAGAGTCTTCTAAACACCTTGAGCCGCAATCTACGAATGTTTGGCATGCGATTCGCTCCAGCCAAATGCAAGATGATGTTACAGGACTGGACTACATCGACGCCTAGTTTAAAAATAGGAAGTGAAGTGGTAGAGCACGTTGACCGCTTCACTTATTTGGGAAGTACCATCAGCCAGTGACGACGGGTTGATCTCTGACGAAATCTCAGCACGAATACCGGGAGATCGTTTCGCATTTGCCAGTTTACGCCGACTCTGGCGTAGACGAGATGTTCGACTATCGACCAAAGGGCGGGTGTACTGCTCATCAGTCCGATCCGTCCTCCTTTATGGTTGTGAGACCTGGCCACTGAGAGTGGAAGACATGAAAAGACTAGCTGTCTTTGATCATAGGTGCCTGCGTTCTATTTCCCGTGTAAAGTGGCATAATAAGGTGAGCAACATGGAGGTTAGGCGTAGAGTTCTAGGTAAACAGGGGAAATCAATCGACGAAGTCGTGAAGCTACACAGACTGAGATGGTTAGGACATGTGTTACGTATGCCAAGTCATCGCCTCCCTCGACGAGCAATGTTAGCGGATATAGGGTCAGGCTGGAAAAAAGCTAGCGGCGGTCAAACAAAAACTTGGCTGCACCAGTCAATGAAATCCACAACAGTTGGTCTAAGCCACGTAGGAAGGTGTAGACTTCCAGGCTGGGGTCCTCGGGACGGTAAAAATCTATGGTTGGAAACAATTGGTGACATGGCTCAAAACCGTTCTCAGTGGCGCAGATGCATCCACTCCTTGTGACTTATGATCTCCAATGAAACTGTTTTGTTCTTCGTTATTACTCTTTTGTCTCACACCTCTGCTCACTGTTTCTATTATGCTTTTCTTGTACTTTCTTCTCTTGCTTTGTGTGCTACAAGGAGGGAGTGTGGCGACTTGAACTTCCGCACATATGTGGAAAGTTCTATGTCGAAAACAGACAGACAGATAGACTTCTCAAACAGCGGAATATGCCCATTCAGTCATAGAGAAACGCCGTTGCGTCGAAAAAGAAACATTTCCCAATTTATCATTAACTAGATTGTACAATAATGTAAGACGATGATTTGGGCAAGTTTGTTTGACATAACAATAATAATAACAACTAGGTCACATTTCGAGCATAATGCATTCACAGAGCAGTTTGAGATATTATGATGTGGATTTAAGCCATGACATACACACAGCACTTATGAGGTTAATGATAACAATGGCAGACTCAGTTTTTATTTGTATGAAAAGCCTTAGGTTTTGATATCAGCAACCATTTAGCTACTCTAATTGGCACATGCTTATGCTTTACTGACCCGCTTTCAGCCAAATAAGTGTCATAAATTATATATTCTTCAACGACCTAGTCGTTTTGCCCAACACGAAACTTAGTTTGTCTTAAAAACTGGAGTAATGCGAAATATTGGCATTTACGTATTTCTTGAGATAAAAAGTACACTCATACGTGCCACGCTAGGTTTGAAATGTTTGATTCTATTGCTAAGGAAACTGTAACTCTTTCAGGTGTAAAGGATTTTAGGTGTGCTTGTAGGAAAGTTTTGATTTGATCAGTCAGTCAGCTGGCTAAAAGTTAGCACACTTACTTGTTAATTGGAACACACTTCCATTATTAAGTTCTAAGACACATTTGTTGTGTAACGGCTGGTGCTACCTACCAAAAGATGAGTGTTTGTCTTCCATATCGAGCAATTTTAACTGATATCCAATTACATTGGAAAAGTTAGATGTAGTCATATTGAAAAATTGCACCATTCGATGCAGCTTTTGTTTGTTAGGCTAAATGACATGCACGTTTGAGAACTACCTGGTAAGTATCCTCAAGAGTCTAAGAGCAAACATGATTCCAAAACATACTTTATCGCAGATGCACTCATTCCATATGATTCCCAGATCTATTAAATTTTTATTATTCTCTATGTGCTGATAGTTATTCTTCGTGGCATTCTTCCTTCCTCTACTTTTAAGTATACTAAGGGAATTGCAATAACTTCTCTAGTCTTAAGTTGAAAATTTAGCTTACTTCACTGCAGTTCTATTAACAGCTTTAAACATCATTGACTTCACACTGGAAACACACAGCTCCTTAATCAAGCCGTGATCACAAGTTTCCAGCCTTCTACTTTAGTCTGTTTAGCTCCAAGATTCTACCGTCGAAAGCAACAATCGTCAACTAAATAGTCACTTATTTCAGTTTTTCTTCCCATGTGTTAAAGAATTCTGTGATTACATGAAAGCAAAGGTGATATAAGATATTTTTCACCCACAGTCACATACTCTTCAGTATAAAAACGTAAGTATGATGTGAAAAACCAACTACAAATGTGAATTATTGTAAATCCACACTAGTTAAATCAGTTAATTTAGCTTAATGTGGCAACAGTATTCGAACGGCAACACATACACAAACTGATGATATTATAGTCGTGATTTTTTGAATAAAAACCCCAGTCATTAGATTGCAGCAGTGAGTTCAGTTACGTACGTAATTCTGATATGCATACAATTAGTCAGTCATTTGTTTGATGTATTCTTCATTAAGACCGCAAGAAATATAGAGACAAGTGAAAACAACACAGACAGATCTTGAAATCTCGCATTAATTTTGTAAGTGATTCTGGTATAAACTATAGTATTATAGTGTATAGCATCAGTCCATATGAACACATAGTTTTTCAGAAGCATTTAAAATATAGACGAAGTTAAAGTATCATAGCCAAAGTTAGGGTCTTTCAAAACTTGTCGTTCACGAAGCAGTCAGAAACAGGGAACTCTACGAAAAGTCATTACAAACCAAACCATGCCTGCCTTTTTGGACTTTGAGAGGGTAGATACACAATTCTAATTATTCTCTAGGTACATCCTCTATAAATCGATATTGTTAGGTAGGGTTATGCCTTTTAAGATAAATTTATCTTAAAAGGTTTAGGGTCTACGCCTAAAGCTGGGTGAGGGGTTAAAGTTATGAATAGGATTTAGATAAAAGGACAGTTTCAAAAATTTCAATGGACCTCAAAGTACCATGACCTACAGTCACTTCGATGAATACATCTATAGATGCAGATGCGATATATCGCGCGTGGTATTTTCTTCTCTATAGATCATCTGTGTAGTAACTAAGAGGCATTCCTACAATACATAAGCGACAAACATATAGTGTAACATCATTTTCCTAGTGGTTTTCAGTGTATTTTTCAACTATTATGTGACTTCTGAATCTATATTTTGACCAGTTGTCCGAGGTAACTGCGATTTTTGCTGTGACAGTATAACTTTCCTAAAATAAACCTAACCACAGCTCTCCTAAATAGCACAAATTATCAGACACACTGCATCATACCACAAACTCTACGAGAAACTCCTTAAGCACAAATAAACCTCAAAAACCTTGTGTGTAACGCCAAGTTTATAAACAGCGTCAAGGCCGATTGTGCCCTCCAATATCCAACATTTTACATTGTAGGTAGTGTGCAGGAATTCAATTTATTTGGTTCTTTTATTTCGCGCTTAGATTGCTGTTATAAAATATGGCATGTTGAGCCCTCCAACTAGCCCACCTTAGCTTCGTTAGATCCTTATTAGGGTATTTAGTAGATTAAGATTTGTAGATAGTTTGAGGCCTGTGTTAAGACAGTGACTGTTGCGTAATCGAAATTGCTTTTTCCAGAGTTGCCATTATAAAGATATGATGATAGTCGGGTGGGCTGCTGCTACTGTGTTAATATAAATATACTTCTGCCTCGCAGACCAGAAAAGAGTCAGTAAATCTGGTTGGAACAACTTGTTCGTCCAAATTAAGAAACATTCCACAATCGTTGTTTTGAGGCAGGAAAGATACCGTTATGGCAAAGTGGCTACTTCATTAGGACTGGCTGCAGGTAGGAGAGTCGTCAGAACACTATGAAAATACAAGGTCTTTATCCATGTTTGATACTAATGAGTGACGGAGAGGGAAATATGATTGTGAAGGAAGAAACCTGTTAGTTACGCTGCTTGAACGACTTTGAACTTGTTCCCGATTAGCTTCATGCGGAAATAACTTTCAAGAAGTTTCTGTGGCCATATCTTTAACTAGAATTGAGATCTGGTCTGTGGGCTCCTTAATCCGGCTCACCTAACCTGGTGGCTAGGCCGCGCTTAATACCACCCTATCTTACC